ATATTGGTAATAGTTAGGGGTGTAAATCACCGCTTTCCTCGCGATATGATATAATATCGATTCCTTGAGCCAACGGTTCGTTTTTTTTTTTTTTATACCTCAGAAATTCCCATGATACGATGTAATACGATTCGATTCGGCTCGATACTGGGGTTAGTAGTCGAAATGATGAAATTTCGCACAATCCTTTACACATCAATGAATTAAAAAAGGCAAATATAATTAGCATTTTATCATATTTTATTGGGAACTGTATCTAGTGTAGTCAAGTATGTCCCATAAAACAAGCAAAATAAAGTGCAATATGGTAAAAAATAAAAAACACTGCATGGACAGACATGTAGAATGAGGAAGATTAACATGACTGACTTCTGCGGTGAAACAAGCATGTCTTCTTTGAGGTTTTTTTAAGAATGTGTGCTCTGAGCGTAGCTTCCTATGTCACCTGCCGTACTAAACACACGCTCTGAAGGTACACTAGCTTGCGAGCTACTTATAAATGACCAAGTCAAAATGATCTGCCTACTATAAAAATGCAAAACATATATTTATGTATAAAAATATTGAGTATTCTTTAATATTATTATTGTTTATTATATTATTGTTATTCTTATTATTAATTTCCCTTTGGGATAAAGTATTTTTGAATTGAACTGGGATTTTAGTTCCTTCACCTTTCTGTTTCTCAGCTCGCTTTTCGGAGGGAAGTTAATGTCATCGTTTTTATGAACAGTCTGAAAATGCCGCTCCACATTCCGCTTCTTCGGAATAGCAATGGCAGACTGACGGATGAGGCAAACGCACTTTGAATATGACATTGTGGGGGGAAAAAAATCCTCCTCCTCCCATTTTTGTTTTGATACATTTGTTGAGCAAGTATTTGTAATATGTATTGAGATACTTTTTGATGTATTTGTGCTTATGTGACTGCTGCTCTTGTACTTTTTCCTGTATCTGTGCAATTTTTCTATGGATATTGCAGTGTAGCTAGTAATGCCCACCAGCATCATATACTGTAGGATGGAGCTTGTGGTGTATGTCAGCCATTATTAGGGATTTCATTTAGCATCCTCCTTTTTTGTTAGTGACATGGATATTGCAGTGTAGCAGAAATCTGTGCTTAGATACTCTGCCATTCTTTACAGATGATTCTTTTCAACTCCTATTTGCTGGAAAAGTTATGCTTTTCTACTCTTGAAGATTACCAAAAGTTTTCTGCAAGATTGAGGTCAGGTGACACACTTGACCAGGTGATGGTTTACACTGTTGTTTTTTGCAGTGTGTTTAGGATTATTGTCTTGTTAGAATATTCCTTTCCTGCCAAATATCTTCAGAGTGGGAACCTTTTTCATTCAGTATGTTAGTGTGTAACCTGTTGATTACAAACCATCATTTTGTTCTTTGTTTGCTGACCCCCTTAAATGGTCAGGGTGGTTAAATATTTTCTGAAATAATTTTCCTATGCCTCCCAATGCTTTCGCGTTCCCTCACAATACTTGAGATCCGACTACACTTGCCCACTTGGTGTTTGCTGCAACGTAGCGGCATGGATAAACCTAAACAATATAGACTTCGTATGGGCTGTTAAAATACTGAAATGAATGATTCTGTGTCGCACATTTTTAGGGGCTGGGGTCACAGGTATTCAAATATATTTGAACAAATTGCGTGACATTTGACATTAGGGCTGCAACTAACGATTATAAATTATAAGATTATAAATTGCTTAATTATAAAATGGCTCCTATTTAGCTACCAGCTTTTACATTTCGCATGAGATAATTGTTCAACTTGAATGCCACAAAAAAACACATGTAAAATAGGAAAGAACTGTCGTGCGATTGTGCAAATAGCTCCTATTTCGTGTTAAATCTATCTTTTTAGAGATTTCTAAAAAACTAAAGTATAGGACGTAGATTGGCCACACAAAGCCGATACCGATCCGAATTTCTGATGCAATCTTTGTTATAATCAGGGTTGCATCTAACTGGTATGCAAGTAGACATTCACCTTTAAAAGCCATACGTGTGGCAATCCATTGCTGTGACAGTGCAGATGCGTATGTATTTTATGTGCATTTGCGCTGATATGACAAGGAATTATCATGCATTTTAAGCTGTATATGCTAATTCGTACTTCATTTGCAGTATAGAGGTTAAAATGCACGGTAATTTCTTGTCATATCAGCTATTTACAGTATATAGCCTTTGTTTACAAATAAAAAATATTTTTAAAGCAGGCTGAAAAATCCCAAGATCCCAACCCAAAATACGGGAAATTTAGAGCAGCTTCCCACTGCCATTCCTCTGTTAACAGCAAGAAAACAGACTTCAAAACTGCTGTTATTTATTTATTTTTAACGGAGCATAAGCTCTCACAGCACTTGCGACATCGGAGCCACTGTCCTGAATCTTGAGCTTCAGAGTTTTGACTTCTTTATCTATTAAAGCAATGGGTTTTCTCCACTGTTTTCCGACCTTTTTTTAAGCTACTTTTAGTGAATGAAACACTTCATGACACACCACTGACTTCCAAACATAAATACGTTCTATTCCGATCTTTTTTGAAAATATAAAATATACTACTACTAGCATATTATTATGCCCTATTATTGTTATTAATTATTATTATTGGATACGCCAGGCAACAAGAAGCCCGTGCCATTCACCCTTTTGCAGATCTCGTCTTTGTTTTGGGACATTAAAAGCCTTTGAGACTGATGTGGAACTAAATACTGGGGAATTATTTTCTCCTTAATATGAAGTTTGGAATCTTAAACACGCGTCGGGAAATAGCTTGCAGCCTGTAGGCTACTCCGCAACCGTCAATGTTTAAGCGAACTGCCGAAACCATGATGTTTATTTTTATTTTTAGGAAGAATAATTAAATCGTAATTAAACAAAAGAAATACAGCCTTTCCAGTCCCCCCATTTTTTTCCTTCGGATCTACATAAATCTCATTATTAACCTTCAGTGCACTCAGTTGACGGAATTCCGTCATAGCGACGGAAAACTTTAATCCATGTGTCCCAGACTTTAGAGCGTTTAATACGCGATGATGCCTGATTTGTGGCCGCCATTCTTCTACCTGTCGCTGAAAGCTATTGCGCAAGAGCGAGTCTAACCAGTGTGGTGTATTGGTGCAGTCTGTAAAGCGGTAGTATTGCACAGGTAGAAAGGAAGGAAAACGTCTCACTCCGTTTAAAAATACATCTGGCGACAATTATCGACAATCAAATTCGTCAGCGACTATTTTTATTGTCGATGTTTCTCAATGTCGAATAATCATTGCACCCCTATTTGACATTAGTTCAAGCTTGATTTTTGAAAAAAGTGACAGCCCTAGTGTATACACTAGTGTTCATGTTGCCCTCTATAAAAGTGATTTTCCCTACACCTGCTGAACTTTGCTAGTTTTAATATAACCAGACTACATTGTGGACCTTTATTTCTCTTGTCCTATTAATACACTCCCTTCCATTGGCACTATGAAATCACTATGATGGTCTTGCCCAGGTCCACACCAAACACACTAAATCTCATCAGATTCAAATAAGCTTATCTTTGTTTCATCTGACCAGAGAAGGTGTTTGTCAGTTTCTACTGGCTTCCTTTCATGTTCTTTGACAAGTCTTAATCTTGCAGTTTTGTGCCGATTTCTTAGTAACAGTTTTCTTTTTGGACACGGTCCATTGAAGTTAATGTCATGTAACATTTGGGGTACTGTCTGGCCACTCACTGAGAGGCCAGTTTTTGAAGATAAATCTTATGCCCAATTTCTGTTACGAACCCCAGTTTAGGGTTGGGGCGTAACACAGTTTTCTTTTTGGACACGGTCCATTGAAGTTAATGTCATGTAACATTTGGGGTACTGTCTGGCCACTCACTGAGAGGCCAGTTTTTGAAGATAAATCTTATGCTAAGCTGAATGCACTGGTCAATCTGTTTCTCAGTGCTAGATGGTATAAATGGTAGACTGTGCTCTTTGTCATCTTTTGATGATGCCCATTACAGCCTTAGTTTCTGGTAGTATGCCTCTTCTGATGATTAACTAAGCTTAAGTGGATTAATATATCGTTAATTCAGAAATAAGGTACTTATCTCTCAACTTTGTATTGCCCTTTTAAATGTTAGCTGAACTTTTGGTGTTTGGTCAGTATTGTGCACAGCTTGACTTGCATATATCCTGTGGTTTGGCACAAAGTATTTTTGTCTTCATTTGGCACAAAGTATTTCCAGATGCCACTCCAGCTACACTCTTCATCTCTGACTCTTCTTGAGCGTCAGGTTTAGTTAATTGGCAGTGTAACCAAATGAAATTGTGTTTATATTAATAAACACTGGCAGTTTGTGTTGTCATTGCAGAAACAATTTCATAGCCAATTCATGTTTTCCTGGACACGGGGCTCTTGGATTTAAAAAAAAAAAAAAAAAAAAGTTAGAACCACTGCTTAACAGATGCCAGTACCCCATGTAAAATCAATATGGAACATTTATGCTTGAGTTTGTATAAGAGCAGAGTTGTCCATTTGCACACACCAATGGTTAATCCAGAAAAACATAATGAGGTCTTGTGGTAATGTATTTTTTTCTTCAGTAGCAGGCATACAAAAGTCCAGCACATTAAAACAGAATGATATCCACTGAAGGGAAGACCTTTTATTCTCTGCTTCGTCCTCATTCAATCCCATTTTTAAGCTGAAAGTCATGAAATACATTTCAGAGTATGAATATTTAAGCGGTTACTTTTGGACACTTTCATCTTATACAGTGACAGTCAGTCCTATTGAAATCTGTTTAATTACGAACAGCCACATCTTTCAAGTGCAGCCTAGTTTTATAATAAAACCATGTGGTCCAGCGGCAGCCTACATAAAACTGTCTGGGACATAGGACATAGGGCCGTTTGTGGACAAATGCTCTCAGTCCGTTACCTTGAGTTGTTTCTTCCGCACAACATAGTCAAGGTTGCATTTTTATTTCATGTCTCTGTTTTCCAGGATTCGAACTCCAGCTGTTTTTCAGTTGCAAACCAGCTGATCATCTCAGCGAGAGCATCAGCTTACATGGTGGGGTGAGGACACCAGTGTTTCTTTTACTGCCATCTCCCCTCTGGATTGGGTAGCATAGATATTTTTCACCCTAGTCCGGCAGCTTGGCTGCTCACCTAAATCCAGATGAATGAAGACCCCATTCGGGAAGACAGCGGGCCAGAGATCCAGAGCTGATGCAGGTGAGACCTACATTTTATTTTGTCTTCATATTTCTGTGCATGCACGCATGTGTAGTTACAGCATTTATTCCAGTGCCACTCTGTTATGTGGATTCTTTTCCATAAATGTTTAAAAATAAAAATGGTAATTATATGTGAAGCATCAGTGAGATGCAGAAAAAAGGACACGGCACTAAAAAGAGTTTGAAGAAAATATTATGAAAATGACTTGTGAAATAATCTTATGGTAGCCAATAATAACGTGATGTACCGTACTTTTCTTCTGCTACTCCAAGTAAAACCTTAGCACCTATCTGCTGAAAATGACCAATTCTGTAAAGCAGAATTGGCTCCACTTTTATTCAGTGTCCTAATCCGAAATTAATTTAGTACCAAAAAATCTAAACGTGTTCTCTGCCTGCGGGGAGGCACGGTACTGGTACCGGACTGGGTGTAAGTAATCTTTGGTGTTTCCATGGCAATTAATCTCCAGCCGTTTGCCTACAGGTAACCTAATTAACGAAACCCAGAAAATGCCGGATGTGTTAATTATCTGGTTAAGGTTTTCATAGGGTCATTTGGGAGAATGATAGACAAAGGAGACCTGGGGAAGCAGGACAGACCGATTTTAGTACAGGTTTCATGTTTGCTGTTCTTCTTTGTAATAATGATTTTCGGTAGTTTTACTTGCATTAATGGAGCTTTGATTTTGGGCCCCTCTCACCTCTAAGCAGTCTTCAGTTAAAGCCTGTTCTTTTGCCATTGCATCATGCCTTGTGGCAGAATTCTATCCCACAGCCTGCCACAGTATCCATGTTGACCTTGAATATACATCTGCTGTAGTTTTCACATTGCAAAATCGTATTTTACTTGGAGTCACTTTCAAAGAAATACAAATATATGGTCACTTTTTGGTTTCAGCCAGAGCTTTATAAGCATGGTTGTTGAAGCATTCTTGAAATTTACAGTACCCGAGCCATTGTTCAAACGATGCTCACTCATCATAAAACATCTCCGTTAATATAATCTGTTTTTGGGTTTTTCCTTATGTAAGAACTAACTAGCAGGAACTATAGCCTCTCCTGAAATTAAGATTAGTCAAAAACAGAATGTCAGGTTGTTAGTTTTAGTCATTCGCATGCATGTCTTTGTGTGATGAGTATTGCTGTAATATATAATGTTCTATTTTCATTGTACAAAATGTGTTTTTTCCCCCCTCTACTGAAATCTTCCTTAATGCTGCTTTGTTGTCCTTTGAATGCTCAAAGACAGAATTTTTGAAATATTGACTGATGCCTCTGAAAGACCTACTTCAGGATGGCATTTTGGTTTTAGATTTTGCATTGTGTTTTGGCCAAACAAGCAGGTACAGTGACTGATTTGTTCTTTATGCTCTTTTAAATTTTAGGGCATGCAGGTGTTTCTGCAGGTATGATGAAGAAGAAAAATTCTCACAAGTAAGTTTAAAAAAATGCTTTTACACTTATATTTTGTTGGTGTTTTGATAACTAAATAATGGTAGGAATTAATATTTAGCAACAAAATGTTGATACTAGTTCTGAATTACTTTTTGATGTATTGTTGCCTATTCTCTGGTTGGTATTTTCATTGAGCTATACAACCCAAATGCTTCACTGTTTTCCACCTTCCTGTTTGCAGGAAGCACAAGAACAATGTTGGCCCCAGTAAGCCAGTGTCCCAGCCCAGACGGAATATTGTGGGCTGCAGGATACAGCACAACTGGAAGGAGGGCACCAGTCCAGCCACTCAGTGGAAAGGGACGGTTCTTGACCAGGTTCCCGTGAACCCCTCCCTTTACTTAATAAAGTATGATGGTTTTGACTGTGTTTACGGGCTGGAGCTTCACAAAGATGAACGGGTGCAAGGTCTTGAAGTTTTACCGGACCGAATCGGTAAGTGAATTTCTTTTGAACTAAAATGGCTCACAAGATATTTTACAAAAACAATTTCAAGCTTGCATTGTCTAAGTCAAAAACAACACAAAGAACCTACCTACATAGCTTCTGTTGGCAGCTCTTCTGTTTTGCATAAGATTTATTCTGGAACTCTGTAATGGTTTCAAAAGCACAAAAATTGCATTTTGAGTAGAGGATTAAATGTTTGCTGGCATTTTGTTTTGTTTTTTTTGTCACATTGCATGTGAAATGTTCAAAATAAATTACAATGTTTTTGCGAGTTCCTAGAAAATGCAAAAACATTCAGGAGAATTTGATGTAAATTCAGGAGAATTTATTAAAGTCTGCAAATTATTAAGGCTGCTCCGTGAAACATTTATTATGGCAAGGTGAAAGGGCAAATTCCTATTTGGTAATGTGTTAAACATAGATGTTTTGTACTTTAAAGTCCTCAAGCCTGTGACCATGTCCTCAGTCTGGAATTCTCAGTATGTTCATATTTTTAGTAGTAGCAGCACTGAAGTGCTTTTTTAAAAGTGACTAGCTTTGACTAGCAATCTGTAAGTAAAATGTGCAGAATTACAACAGTGGCTGGCACTGAGGTAGTTTTTGAGTTTGGATTTTTAGATTATGGTGGAGTAAAAAGAACGAGATACATGGGGGAAAAAAAGCTTATGTATGTGAGTCTGCATTTTAAACGGCATATAGTTACATTAACCTGAAGATACTTGAAGGTGTATATGCATTTCTGTCTGTACATTTTTTTTTCCCCTGAATCTTCGGTCATGGAGTAAGGAAACCTGATTACACAGCATCATTTAAAATGGTAATAGCAATGGGGAAATCATAACAGTGAATGCCCTTGGTGTCTTTTTCCATGTTACATTCAAGCAAAGCTGAGTTTATAATTAAGATTTATTATATCTACCTGTTTCTTATAATGGCTAATGTTGGTTAAGAATTGCTAACTAGGCCTAAATGTTACATTTGTATTTAACGCCAGCGAAAATTAATATATGTTTAGGTGTGCATGTGTGTAAATATGATGTTATATCAATTATTTGTTATAATCTTTATCCTTAAAGCAGTAGTCCATGCATACCAATTCAAACGGTTTTAAGAACATTATAAACAAAATCAATCCAGATGGGGGGCAGGCAATTGCCTTAATGCTGAGGACCAAAGTCGGGTTGGGTTGTAGAGGTTGGTAAAGTTTAAAGTTGGTGCTGTTCACCTGAACTAAAATTTGATTAAACTGGGTAGTTACTGAAGGAAGTCCAAATGGTCATAAATATATGCAGCAAAGTTCTGGGTGAATTAGAGGGCTAATATTACCAGTACTTCCACCAGAGAGGAGTCATGGAAGTCTGCTCATAATCATGGCCTTGACTGACAACTAGCATGGTGGCCTCAGGTCTGATCCATTGGGTTTGTAGCAAAGGAATTCCGGCAGTGATGTCACAGATGCTTTTGAGGTTCTCGACATGTCATGCGGACACTACAGACAGACTATTAAGGATGATTAATGAGGCAGAGTAAAGGCACATGGTGGCATGTCAAGCATCTCTGTCTTGGACAAGTTGACTAGCTAATGGGGGTCTGACATCCAGGTAAATGGAGCAACATCACATGACTTAATAGTGGTACTGTTGTTTTTAGCTCTGACCAGGTCCACGTTCCAACATTCTAAATAACAGCATGTTTAACAAAGCGTGAGATTGTTAGCAAACTGTGAGGATACCCAAAAGCAGAAGATGTCTATGTGCTCCATTGCATCGATGAGTGTCTGGGCAGTGTCAGCTGGTATGCACTTTTATTCCATATTACCAGGCATTATATGATGGAATTATTTTATTATTGGACAGAAAATACAGATCCTGATGCCTCAGGATCTTCAATTAGCAATTCCACTTGGAGGAATTCTTAAACACTATGTGAATTTAATGTAACAAACCGTGATTTAGCTAGCTGAGAATGAAGAAGATGGAACTTCTGATTTTCAAAGGTATAAGTAATTTGGTTTACATTGTCTTGCATTTGTCACATCTGATGAATCAAAGCTAGAATATATTTAGTTGCTAATTAATAATTGTGAAAGAAAATATTGTAAAAGGTTATTTGACTTTTCTGTCTAAAACGTCTCAACTTGACAAAACATTTGCTGTCTATTTCTAATGTATTGCATTTATAGATTTATTAATGAATTAGTACATTTTTTGGTAATTCATTGATTTAAATTAAATTATTATAAAGTTGTATGACCATGCAATCTGGCCTAATTTTCATAGTGACAGCCATTGACAGATCAATAAAAATGTTACAAAATATATTTATTATACAGCCTTCTGATCAAAAAAGTATCTGAAGCTGAAGTTCCTCCTAATTTTGTAATAGGGCGGCACGGCATCGGAAAACTCATATCGCGATATCTGAAATTTTTGTAGTTTGCAATATTAATAGAAGAAAAACAAGCGCTGAAAGTTTCCTCAAACTATTGCTAAATAGAATTCATCATCTAGCAATAGTCTGTCAAATAAGTTGTGGTGTGGCCATGAGTAACAGATAATTTGGAAAAGGAACAATCCTTACAACTGCAAAACTTAAGTTTTGTTTCATATGACTGAGTAAAAATGCTTTAGCGAAACATTGACGATTGCATGTGCAAAATGAATGAATGTGTAGGCCTACTTTGAGACCGCATCTATTAATTCTCCTGATGCATCGTGTAGGCCTACTTTGTAACTTATCTGAAATTATTTAGGCTGCCAGGGAACGTTCAGGGAGGTCCTGACCATCCTCCCCCCTACATCCTTCTAGATGGCCTTTATCAGTCTGAGTCTTGACCCAGTGCTAGAGACAATGTCCTTGGCCATATCACACATTTCTCACATTGTTTTTTCACAAAGCATCTTTTGTTGCACACAATCTTATCTTACAGCTAGTTCAGTTCCCACAGTCAGGTTAATGAATGCTCAAAAATTATAACTTGGTTATAGTATTCTGTGTACTTGCTTAATTATACATGTTGATTACAAAACACCCTTTTTATAAGTTATGCAGACATTAATCAATTATTATGTGTAAAACTCTGATTACAGAAGACACTAATAATGTTGATTTAAGTTCTTAACAATTTTGACCAGACTACCTTAAATCAAGCAAGTTATCTGGCTAAGCAAGAAATTTGGCTTTGTGATGCAGGCCTCAGGTGAGAACACAGGTTGCTTGTTGATGAGAGCACTTGCATTCGTCAGCTTTATGCAGAGCTGCTGCTCATTAGTCACTTAATGGCCAGAGTGTAATTAGCAGCTGGGCTGGAATTTGTGTGGTGGAAGCTCTCTTTATTAGCCTGCCTTAGGTTTGCTGTGCCTGGTTTCTTGCAGAAACGGTTCATACTCCTGTTCTCTGGAACTATGTCAATGGTTGTTTTTTTTTCTCAATCCCATATAAAAAGTTGACATGCAAAATAAATTAAACGCATAATGCCTCAATCAGTGGGATGTAAAAGGAAATCTTAATGCTTTTGATATTTAACAGGAACTTTTTTCCTCTCCTCAGTGCATTTTAATATCAGTATAGTTTACCTGCTCAGATTTCCCTCGTAGCTGTATAAAGATACTTTGTGGTCTCTGTGGTCTTTTTGTGAACGCTGTGCTCTTCTGTGTGTGTTGCAGCTTCTTCCCGGATCAGTGATGCCCATCTGGCAGATACCATGATTGGCAAGGCAGTAGAGCACATGTTTGAGACGGAAGATGGGTCCAAGGACGAATGGAGGGGGATGGTTTTAGCACGTGCACCTATTATGAACACATGGTTTTATATCACTTATGAAAAGGATCCCGTTTTATACATGTATCAGCTATTAGATGATTATAAAGAAGGTGACCTCCGGATAATGCCTGATTCAAGTAAGTAAATGTCTGTTGTGGCTTGTTTTTAGCACATTGGTCTTTGTAATTGAAGTTGCTTAAGCCATTGAAATAATATTCAGTTTGTTCCCAATTACTGGAAATTTTGATATGTAATACTCATATGAAATATTTTTTCCAAGAAATCTATCCTTATGTTTAGAAATGGACATTCATATGTGCAGACATAGACAGCTGACGTTGCATGACACCCTCCCCCCCCCCCCCCGCCAGGTTTCCTGCTAGCTTTGTTATAATTGCTAATAAGGGGTCACTAAGTAATTGAACTCAGAACTTCATGATGATTTACGTAACACTACCCCTCTTATTATTCATTTGCACTTCCCTGAATTAACATGCCATCTTCGCAGTTAGAATTCCGAACAGGTAGTTTCAGTTTTGTCATGATCATCCTGTTCTTATAGATGATTCTCCTCCTGCTGAACGCGAGCCAGGAGAGGTGGTGGACAGCTTGGTGGGCAAACAGGTGGAGTACGCAAAAGAAGACGGCTCCAAAAGAACTGGCATGGTTATCCATCAGGTTGAGGCCAAACCATCAGTGTATTTCATCAAGTTTGATGACGACTTCCACATCTACGTCTATGATTTGGTAAAAACGTCCTAGGTGCGTTGCTCAGAGAGTGGTGGAAAACAAGCGTGTTATCTACAGACCTTTGGCAAATCTTCTGAACGCTTCTCTTGACAACCTGAGGCAAGATGGATATTTCCTTTGCAGGCTCTCACTGAAGCCCATGGTTTCCTGGGAGCTCTTGAACCTCGCAAAAAAAAAAAACAAACGCATTTCTGTTTATTATTTCCACAAGAAGGGACATCTCTGCACAGCCTGACATCGTTAAAGACTTGTTGCAAGAATTAACAGGAGGATGCAAACGTAAATTCTGCCCCACTCTGAAGCTGAATCTTTAGGATAGGTCACCACTTTCACCGGCAAGAAAAATGATTTATAAAATTAAATGGTAATGCACACTGCATTGAATGAGTTGTTTTCATTTGAAAATCTGGCATCAGAACATAAATATCCAGTAAAAACATATTGAAATCGAAACATCGGTAAAAACATATTAACATTAATGCACTTGAATGGCAAAACAGGGAAGGGCATTTTTTTTTTGTAAAAACACATGATTTCTTCAGACAGTACTACACGTCATGTGGCAAGCCTTAAATAGAAAACAGTTTTGGGGAAACTTGTCAGTTTTGATCTTGAATATATGAGAAGTTAATTCTGTTGTAGTTTCCTTCGGTTCAATGCAAATTTTGTTTGCTTGCTTAAGGAAAAGAATTTAATATTCATTCTGCTTCTTTGCAGTTGCATCTTAAGTGTTAAGTACGTTCCATGGATAAAAGCAAGATATTTTACAAACTACATTTCTATGTTTAATTTGATAGATTAAACACCAGCACCGACTGTAGTTTTTTTTTACTGAATTGTGGGATTTCTTCCATAGCCATTGTGCTCCCACTTTGTTTCAAGTTCGAACAACATTGTTCATTTCTGTTCAACAGTTAATATTTTAGGTCTTGCTGTTTGGAAATGAGAGATTCTGTTATTGTTTGGTCCACGTTTCTGTGCTATATCATCCCAAAGTGTTAATTTATTAAATTTGCATCAGGTGCATACCCTGCCCCAGCAAGTGTAAGCATTTTTTGTATAAAATACCACTTAAAACACATTTTATACAATTCATATAATTTCATAATGGACACGTGTCATACACGAATGACACAAAAATATTTCAACATATAAACAATTGCCAGTGTTTTGTTAAATACACCCTTTTCCTTCCAGAATATGCAGCAAAAGATACTGGTTGTCATGAGATAGTAACAGGTCAATGACACCTTTTTGGAAGATTTTAAAATTCTGTTCTGTTAAGAATTGCCATGTTACTTGGCTGAGCCTACAAGCACGTGCCTCATTTAAACTGTTGAAAGATACTCAATGTTAGAATACTCAAATGGAATTTCTGTGCTTTCAACCACAGCTACATTTACTGCATCCAAGACGGGCAAAAAGGCTTTTCGTAGGAATCTTAGAGAGGTTTCTGGAGTAATGTAAAGCACTAAAGACCAGAGTATAAATGTTATTCATTATGTTAATGGACAGTGTTTTCTGTGAATTCAACCTCTGCACACCTCATTAATATCCTGCTTTTCCTCAGTGATGAAAAAGTAGTGTTTTATATAAAGTTAAACCTGAGCCTCTGGTGATGGTCATACTGAGAATATTCTTGAACAGGTGAGCTGTCAATAGTTTTGGACAACAGCATCTGCACATGACTCCTTAGAGCATGGATCTGCATCCCTGCATAACTAAATAAAACGGGTGGCCATGCTATATCATCAGCACCCGCACCGAGGAAAAGCAATAGCCAATCATTTTTTAAAATGTTTTTAAAAGGGAAGAAAAATGCGTGCTTGTGTTCAAGTACCCATGGCTTAATTTTAACAAAAAATAGTACCCATCTTCTCGAGGTTCAGGTTTCCAAGCTTACAGTATGCACACCTTTATGTAACCCTGTAACTAAGTATAATCCTCTCATCACATAAGGGTTATGTCTTACTCCAAACTGTTTTGGGGCTTTTGAACATGCAAGACGCATCCAGAAAAGAAATGTGTAAGATATATTGGCCTTTGAAATTTACCTACTGTAGTATCGTACTGTGTTTGATGTCAGTTCCATGTCAGATGTTTTGGGGAAGTCTTTCTTTTCGTTATTTTATTTTTTTATTTTTTTTTTGCATGAGTAGAAATTAAATAATGTAAGTTAGTGTAAGTTGCATGTAAATCACTTTCCTTTCGTATGGTTTTTCTCCTAAAGTTTTTTTTTTTTTTTTTTTTTTAAAACATGTTCTTTTTGTATATTAATTGTGAAGTTCATTTTATTTTGCTTTGCTTTTTTATTATCGCTGTTTAGGAACAAAGGCACTGGTATAAACTCACATGGCAGGGTACCAGTGTTATGCAGCATTTGAGGGATCATATATCTTACAAAAAATACTTTAAGTGTGGGTTTGAGTGGGGAGGGGGTCCTTGGATGACAGACAAATCAATTTTATGTCCTACGCGTGCCATAACTTTAAGGTATGTCTAAGAAAAACAGCCTTACATTATTGGGGGGAGTTATCTGTGAGTGAGGTTGTGTGCTTGTGTGTGAATGTGTGTATAGTAGCCATTGTAGTTCCATATCAATAAATTATGTACATTTTTTTTTCTTGGAAGGAGATTTTTTTTTAATGCAATATGGTCCCTTTGAGATGCTGTCAGTCGTTTCTTTTGTATAATACAGTGCAATTTGATGGTTACTGATTACATGTATAGTCAAAGGGTCTTCATGTTTTCTTGTGTCTAGGTAAATGGCTTCTATTTGACTGCTTGTTTTCGGAACAATGTAGATAGTTCATTGTTTGCATTTAGAGGTATAAACACTTAAAACGTTACTTAATTCTGTAAGTAATTTTTATAATTATGTAAGTCTATACCTTATAACATTAAAAAAATAAAAACTTAATGTGAACTTGCTGTACTATGTTATATTTTTGAGGTGCATAAACTCATCGGATTAAAGAAATTCTAGTGTAGTACAATACGATAGTGTGTTGGCTATATCAAATCAAGGAGCAAAAAAAAGAGCTGTTACACAATTGCTTCAGGGACAGGGTCCCAAATATCTGAACATCAAATACGTGCAATTAAATGTTTAATCAAAAACTGTGTATTTATGTATACATATAAAGACAAAATGATGTTTTGTCCTACAAGCTTTTAAAAAATGTGTATGTGATTGCCCTTCTGAATTCTGGGAAACGTACTACCAGTTAAGAGTCAAAAAGGACATGGACGGGCACAAATAACTAAATATGATACTCCAAAACACAGAATACGCTGAGTTCATGAAGATCTGTAGCTAGGCAACCGTAATGCTTTTACCTTAACTCGCGGATTAAAAATTATTCATCATTCTCGCTGCGCAAAGCGTTTGTGTAACATCCATGATCCTCTCCAACTATCAGCAAAACGACTCTTACTTTTTATCTGTAGAACAAGAAGCTTGGGCGAAAATGCATTCTAAAGTACTTTAAAACTAGCAGTTACAAAACGGGAAGGCTTCTATTACATTAAAACCTTTCGCACAATGGCAGAAATCGGGGGCGGAATGGTGAAGAGCAGCACCGAGAGATTTCCCAGCAGGCCGGTGTTCTGACGAGTTGAGCTACCTATCGAGACGTACTATCGAGCCTTTCTGCGCATGTGCAGTTCCACCGTTTTAGGATTAGGGTTGGGTTTTAGGGGTTAGGGTTATGGTTAAGGTAAGGGATTTGGGGGGGTTAGGGTTAGGGCTATCGATTACGGTACTACGGTAGCCTAACTCGACAAAGTAGCTCAACTACAACTCGACAGAACACCGGTAACATTTCCGGGCCGGTCGAGCTGCCCTGAACAGTCTAAAAAAATGCGAAATCTTAGGTTAAAAACGATTATATTAATATCGACCGCGACCATCTGCGTCCACGGATAAATGCAGCATGATCACAAAATTCCGGACGTAGAACCGTCCGCGCTTTCCGCACTGGGTGAGGGACGTCATTTAAACCACCAAGGCCCAGCTATTCAAAAGTAATCCAATGGGATTTCCGATAACGGATTGGATTGAATCTTGAAAACGAGTTGTTTAAAGGGAAAAGAGGGATTCTGAAATCAGATCAGATCACCTAATCCAATCTCGGTTTGTGTTTGAATTGGGATACATTTGATCCAAAAAATCAGGATAATCCTGATTCCAAAACAAGGGTGGATTCAATGGTGGATTTCTGGCACAAAATTAAATAAAACTTGTAAATTGATCACAAAAGCAGTGTTTGCTGATGATATATTTATATTTTGTACAATTGTTGAACTAGGACAGTGGCAGTGAAAATAAAATAGGAAGACATGAAGCCTTTCGTTATAGTCAAGGGAAGAAAAATCCCTGTGAGATCTGTACTCAAGCAAGATCTCAAAGCTCAAAACAAAAAGCTCTACTATACATTGTATTTTAATGAAAATGACAATAATTACTATTACTCAATTTATCAGTCAGAAGTAATATCTTACAGTTGCATCCCTGACCGCATGGCCAGTCCGTCCCTCATTTGGTGTTTTCTGTTTGTTCAATTTAAAACACATAATGGCTACTTGTGGCCACTGGTATTTTAGGTCTACCTGTTGTTCTTGACAAAGCCAGTAGGCTACACTGTTGGTTCCATTTTATGCACTAGTAAACCGGATTTGGTAATCCTGAAAATTCTGTATTTGGATAACAGTGATCCAATCCAGTGTTGCTTTGAAAAACCGGCGTAAGAGTAAAATGGGTTACCAAATCCTGGATAGCAAAACAAGGGATTTCAAAATCCGGATTACTTTGATCTGGATTAAATTGTTTAAATAACTGGGCCCAGGGGTTTGAGTCATACGATGCACAGGGGCTGCATTCGAAGACTGATTGTGTCAGCGGCGCAACAAGGCCATCCATTTCGAAGGCTCCTTTAAATGCAGCTTAGAAATGTGTTATTCTTTTGCCCAGATCCCAAGGTTGATTGCATGAACCTTCGAAGGACGCAGCTAGTGGGTAGCCCAGCTCCAGGGGCGCTGCACGTTGGATGACCCTGCGCTGTGACCCCCAAACTTGCTCTCACCTGCATATGTGTCTGTGTATCTTATGAACATGATGGGGTAGGCGAGAAGAAGCATTCAAATAAACCTGTACTTGTACTTGTGCATATGGCGAACAGTATAATTTCATTTCAGTGCTGTCTTGGGGACATGACTTAAGTAGCAGTACTTGGGAGCAGTATAAGCAGCTCACTAGCACTTGTGATTGGCCCTACAGTAGCCTATGTCACGTAGCCTACACTGGGTTTCTAGCTTCATTAACATGCTATTCCTTATTGAAGAAAAGAAAGATGGATTAATACTACACATACATCTTATTCAAAAGCTAATATTGATCCGCGGTGCTTTACGTGATACTACTACTGATTATTGTTTTACTAAATTATCATTTGAACTAGAAGTTGTGTAATTGCACATAGCTGGAAACTGTTGCTGAACGTGTTCATTGAGTTTGTTGCCAATAGGAATCATTGATCGGGTGTAGTATGTTGTCCGCCATTTTCTGAAACAATAAATTTTCATCTTATTTAGTAGTATCTTTTCTTGTGTTGGTACTATGGTGGTCTGTTTGTAACTCCCTCTCTGGCAGAAATATAGTATTTTTTCTTGTATAGCCGTTTAAGAGACTCCATAAATGAACTTTTTAAATGAAACTTTTTAAAAACAAGATTTTATTATAAATACAAAAATTGCAATGAAGCGAAACCTGCCGTTGCAAAATGACTCGTGACTTAATTTTCTTTTTAGTTACTCCAGCTCGCGCTTTCATTCGCTGGCGAACATCGCGTGGCTGGATGGCGGGTCACGTGACGGGCATTTCTACGCCGCAAAAGTGGGCGGCGCCGCCGTTCGCGAGACATTATGGGAAAAGAAGAGCTCGTGGGCTCGTGCGGAGGACTTGGTGTTTATAGACTATCAAAAACTCCTCCAGTCACTGCATCTATTACCGCGCCTGGTTGTTTGATAACCTCATTCTAGGGGTGTATGGACGAGGTCGTGTGATTTAAAGTTATCAGGAATCACATCTTTTGAAAAATAATATGAAGTTTACTGCTTGAATTGTAGGTTTTTAGTGTTAAAATAGCTGACTGCTTATGAGCGTTTTGGACGTTATTTCAGCTCTGTAAACTAACCAGTCAATTCATTTTGTTAGTATTAACTCATCGTAACAGCACCAGGATACTTTTTGGATTCCCTTTTAAGTACTCGGCAACACTTGTGGCAAACGCCTTCAAATTAAAAAATTTACTAGCTAGCCGGGAAAACAATTAAATTAAGTTTCGTCTTTCAGCATGGTGGAGGTATTTGCAGGGCGAACGCTGTTAAATAAAGAGGGTGAATTCACTGACCCAGAAGAAGCATTGAGAAACAAGGTAGTGGGTCTGTATTTTTCGGCTGGCTGGTGTCCACCCTGTCGGGATTTCACACCTGTTTTGTGTGATTTCTACACGGATTTGGTGGAGGAGAACGACCCCCCGGCTCAGTTCGAAATAGTCTTCATTTCTTCCGATAAGTCTGCAGAAGACATGGTGGAGTACTATCATGACTATCACGGGGACTGGCTTGCCCTACCGTGGAACGATGAGTATAAGAAGTAAGTAAATCTGATAACTCCTTCAGATATCTAGGGTAGTATCGTTCTTTTCTGTTTTTGGAGACATTGAGTTATGGATATCAGCAATACTCCATGTATTCCACATTAGGAAAAGCTTTGTTTTATCTGTTTGTAAAGTGAGGAAGTAACTATGAAATTTAGATTTAGGCGTGGAATTACGCTGCAGTTATACTGTACTGTACCTTGCAGCTGTCGACATGCCGAGTATGGTTTTACTTGTGCAAGATCTCTGTAAGAGGTTTAAGGGTTAGGGTGACCTCTGCTGAGATTATGTTTAAATTTAGCAAAAACCTTCAGTGCATGCCTTGGAAAAACCAAATATGCTTTGCCATGTGTTTGAGGTGTTACTTATAGTGCAAGCTGGCTTGTTTGCTAAGATGCTTTAAGAAATGTAATTAGCCATGCCTCCATATTAAGTGTATTGAGCATATTAGACATCATTTCGAGAAATTCATGGTTTCTGTACTCCCTCCTTGCTGCAAACCTTGTGGATTTCAGAGTACTGCAAAAATTGTGGACAGCTCTGAGGACAGTGCAGTTTTGTCAGTTATAAGTTGATTTAGTGCTTATCTAGGAATTTCAGCTCTACCCTTAAAAGTTGCTTGTTTGATTCACTTTCCTGATGGTTCCTGTGAGTTGCCTCTTTGTTGCTTCTGTGCAACTTTGTTTTGTGGGGGGGGAAAAAGTGATTTTCACAATTTTCCATTCTTTTTTACAGTGACTTGAAAAAAAGGTACAATATTACTGCCGTCCCAAAGCTTGTCATAGTGAAGGAAAATGGGGAGGTTATCACGGACAAAGGAAGGAAACAGATACGGGACAAAGGGCTGGCGTGCTTCAAAAGCTGGCTGGAGGTGGCCGAGATTTTTCAGAACTTTAAAGACTAGGAAAGGTGTTGAACACATTTTCTCATGGTATGTATATTCTGTGCATAATTAATAATCTTTAAACTTTGACATCCTATGTAGAGATTTACCTATTTTTAAATTGCTATATATTATTTTTTTTCCATGAAATAGATGCCTACTTTTTTGTGACATAAAAGACATTTACTGCTACTTCAATTTTTAAAGGACTCATTCACACTGTAATGAAAAGACATGAGTAACGTGAATGATGATAACTGTAAGGGCCCTACTTCATACTCTTGGCTTTGTAAATAATGCATTCTTGTTGAGTTATACAAATAAATTTGTGTGGCCTAAATACGTGTCTTACATTTTCTCTTGGTACACTTTTTAACATGTAATTTTATTATTCTTTTATAATTCTTATGTCTTTTATAATTTAGTCTGACTTGGAAATACTTTAAAAATTGCTTATCTGGCTTGCAGAATGTAAAGTATCATTTTAGTTGATTTACTCTTTTTTTTCAAATATGTTATTGTTATTGCAATGATCTACTTTTCTTTTTGCGTTGTTCTGGTGTTTTATATTTAATTTCATGCTGATTCTGCTCAGTGGTTCATGGTTCACAGGCACATGCTTGTTTTTGTCCTGAAGTCATCCCCATGGCTTTGTGTTGTTTGATTCTAAGGCCCATTGTTAAGGGGAATGATGCACAGAGACTGGGGTAATAAGCTGGTTGTTTTCAACGGATGGAGTCAATTAAATTCTCAGGTGGTCAATTATGTACCAATGAAGCCATAATATAAGCTCAGTCCCTTTAATTTTGTTAAACAGACATGGAAGGGAAGCCGTGTAAAATGTAAATAAAAACAGAATGCAATGATTTACAAATCCTATAAACCTATATTTAATTTAAAATTGGACAAAGACAACATACCAAATGTTGAAACTGAGATTTTGTTTTTATGAAGTATATGCTCAACTTGAATTTGATGCAGCAACACATTTCAAAAACGTTGGGACAGGCATATTTACCACTGTGTTGCATCACCTCTGCTTTTAACAACATTCTGTAAACGTTTGGGAACTGGGGAGGCCAGTTGCTGGAGTTTTGAAAGTGAAACTTCCCATTCTTGCCTGTTTCAAATCCTCAACCGTTCGGGTCTCCTTTGTCATATTTTTTTGTTTCACGATATGCCAAATGTTTTCAACGGGGGACAGGTCTGGACTGCAGGCAGGCCAGTCTAGCACCCAGACTCTTCCAGTGTGGAGCCATGCTGTGGTAATACACACAGAACGTAGTTTGGTATTGTCTTACTGAAATGTACTTTCTCTGAAAAGGATGCTGTCTGGGTGGCAGCATAAATGGTGCCTTCCCAGACATGCAAGTCACCCAAGCGATGGGCACTAATGCAGCCCCATGCCATCACAGATGCTGTCCGCTGATAACGAGCTGAATGGTCCCTCTACTCTTCAGCCCGGAGGATGCGGCGACCATGATTTCCAAAAAGAATTTGAAATTTTGATTCGTCAGACCACAGGACAGTTTTACATTTTGCCTCAGTCCACCTGAAATGATCTCTGATCCCCAGAGAAGTCGGCGGCATTTCTGGATCATGGTTAGATCTGGTTTCTTCTTTGCATCATAGAGTTTTATCCTGCATTTGTGGATGCGACAACAAACCATGTTCACAGATAATGGTTTTCGGAAGTATTGCTGATCCCATGCAGTGATTTCCACTGCAGAATCGTGTGTGTTTTTAATGCAGTGCCACCTGACGACCTAAAGATCACAGCTATCCAGTATTAGTTTTTGGCCTTGATCCTTCCGTACAGAAATTTCTCTTAATGTAATGGTGTAAAGTGGACAGTACATGCAAAATGATGGTACAAATAAAGAGCGAAAGCACCATTTGTGTGGAAGCACTTCACATTAAAAGTGAACTAGAATGCAGTTGTCTGTCAGTATTGCAAAGCAGAACTTGAATATCACCACGTCAACACTGCAAAGCAAATACACCTCAAAAGAAGGCATTCAGGTTTGACAGACTCACCCAATAATGAAAGATTAGATATATCATAGGTAGCTTCTCGAAGTAGCTTTCCACGTCTTTGTCATCCCTTTGACTTAGTTTATTTTGTTTATTCTGATTCCTTCATGTCAAAATAATCGCTGCTAAAACGAAGGTTACCTCGTCGGTTATCCACGTCATTTTACATAATACGGTACATAACCAGTTAACATTATTTTTTGTTAACGTGTGTGTTTTGAATAACTCTGAACAAGACTAGAAAAAGATCACATTGCGATGTTTAGGAGATGAAAATTAACTAAAAAGCCAAATGTATGACGTATCTACCTTTAACTTATCTACCAACAGTGTCTGTCAAATAACTTGTTTTCGAGATTTGTCCCAAGAGACACAAAGCAGTGCCGACAAATAACTTGTTTTTCCTCACTGTCACTACAAACCGCAACATATTTCCATACAGCCAAACTGGCTTTTCATGACCAGTTCCTGTTTGCCTTTCTCCTCTTCACTTATTTGTTCATTATACTTTCTCAAAAACGCGCCACACAGTCTATGAATCAGTCCAACAGCACGGAATGGTATTGTTATATGGCTGGAGATCGCACGTAGTGTTCATACAAATCACCGGCGGTAAACTTTAGACTTTCTAGACAATGCTGAAAAGGAACCAGTATTAAAATTGCAAAGCTTGCCAAGTTTGGTTTCCTTTATCTAGGTCAGGGGTCTCAAACTGCAGTCCTGGGGGTCCGGAGCCCTACACAGTTTTTGGTTCACCCTCATTTAACACACCTGATTCAACTCCTTGTGCTAATTACCACACAGCTCTTGAGCTGAATAATTTGTGGTGGAACAGGGAAAGAACTAAGCTACACAGGGTTCCGGCCCCCCAGGACTGGAGTTTGAGACCCCTGATCTAGGTAAATGTTTTAGCGCAATTTAAGCCTATTGATGGTAATTTTAACCCAGCAGACTATCGCGGTCCTTATAAATGTGACGATTTCATGTGCATGAAATGCCATGTTGATATTAACAACGCAAACCATACAAACTTACAGTGGCGTACTGGGTAGTGCTGTCGCCACACACCGCCGCTTGTATGTTGAGTCTGCATGTTCGTCCTGTGTTTGGGGTGCCTAAACTGACCCTATATGTGACTGAGTGTGCACTCTGCAACGTGTGGTTGGTTCCTGCATTGCGCCATTTGCAATGTATGCATTATTATATATAATAATCCACATCGTACCAACTTTTTTGGAAATGGGGTTGTACTTCGGTTTTGTATGCTGTGCGCCTAAAGTAACTGATGGGTCTGAGCAGCTTTCGTAATTTCTATAGTGCAGGAAATGCAATGATGACTAGAGAATTTCATCACCTGCTCAGCTGGTAAAAAACAGTAGTCAGCAAAGTTTTCCACTTCACGATTCTCACTGCACACACATTTAACCTCCTGGAGAGTCTCCACAGGTGATCCTACCTCGTTTAATTATTCTTGTGAAGATCTGCTTGCTAGGACAGTTAATTATGTGTAGTCCTATGGGATGCACTTTACAGTTGAGCTTTCTGGCCATTTATTGTGAGACCTAAAAATAAAGAACATGTTTCTTCTATGTTTAATGGGTTAAACTGTAAAATCTATAAATCTGTAAAACCAGTATAACTATATAAGTGCATAACTAAATGTCAGCTGTATAATCATACCTCCCTCATCTAAAACACTTAGCACTTAGACGCTTTATTTAAACGCTTAGTACTTTAGACTGTAGGGTTCCTTGAAGTTAGGAGGTTCAACCACTGGATGTCACTGTACCTAAACAGTATAATGGTTCATACATTTTTTTCCCATAATCACTTATTCAGACACGGATGCTCTTCATACTGAGTTGTTCAGTTCGGCAGAAACTTAAAGGATTTGAAATTTAAAAACACCAAGTAGTGTACCAAATGGCTGCCAAAGTAATGTAGGATTTTTTGTTTTTTAAAATTTAACATTTAAAACAAAGGGGCACCAGCTGCATATTTACGTCAGCATAACATAAAACACTTATCCCTGTTTCTCTGAATTTTACTTGTTATAATGTTTTAGAAATGTATTTCCTTTTGAAGTAGACGAACGCATTCCTTTGATTCTGTGTCTCTAGGGAACTTATCAAACTTGTGTATTGCATCTACCAGCCCTTCAGGTGCTCAACCCTGTAGATATGGCATAAACGTTAACCAGAAAATGAAAACACGACAGAAAAAAAATAACGTTTTAGGGCTCAAATTGATGACCAACTTAGGTCCACGAACTACAATGGTTTTGTTAAGGTAGGATTTTATTATGTCTTTCTCTTCAATTGAGGGAAAAAGGTTCCTGTTCTCCCACATTAATATTTACAACTGTTCTAGACTGGTATTGCTTATATTATGTTTTTAAATCAGTTCCACAGCCAAGGTATACTTAACAATCACAATAACACCTAAAGTAATTTTGCCCTCAAACTTACCGACGGCCCCGTTAAGAATGGAGAATACATTTATTCCAAGATGTAAAACCTGGCCCAGGATACATTCAGCAAGTCAGCGGAACGGGTCACGCATGCAGTTCCAGCCTGAGCTGCTTCTGCGAGCGCTGCTGCTTTAAAGTCTGGCGTTGTGACTGAGTTTGCCGCAGGGCAGCCCTCAGGGAGAGCAGACCTGAGCAGCCTGCTGAAAGGCATCATTCACTCGATCAGCTGGGGGACTCTTCTGAGCACCAAATTAGCTGCATGCACAGGCTCCCTTTCAGTAAGCCGGCATGCTCAGCTGGCTTTGCGTATCCTGTGTGGGACTGTCTGCATTGGATAGTCGCTTGACAGGGGTAAATGAAAGCAAAACGCGGCAATGAAGGACCGCGGATAATGTTAGGGAATAAAAAAGGAGTAGTGGTAAATGGGGGGGGGGAAATGGTTCATTACCCGTATTTTCCTAAACTAATATTCGGTCTATTAATATTAGGTTTGTTTTGCCACTTAAACATCTGCTGAAATTAGTCGCCCCCCCCCCCCCCATTAATCTTATATTTGGAAAACATTTTTTGATGTTCTGGAAATCTTAAGCTTAAAAAAGTAACTGTAATTTAGTGACATGTTTAAGGGAATTCGGACCATGAGTCACACAGGTACAGACTATAGGTAAGTGGGAGGTAAGTTCGATGGTCTTTTAATTTTTGTTAAGAAATATTTGCTTTAACTTTCTCCAAGGACATTCTAGCACCATTTTTCTCTTAAACTCCTCAGGCCTTCGGCTCAGTTTCGGTTCCTCCTCTGGCTGACACAACACCCCCCTTGGATGCTTGTTAGCCAGGGTGTCCCGGTCCAGGGGGCTCCCATAAAGACCCTAGGCTATGCGATGGCACGCAGGACAGCTACTGATGTCTGCAGGAGCAGCGGGACATACAGCTGCCAGACAGTACTCTAAGAGGCTGATTATATGCCTGTTAGATGCTGATATGCTAAACTATAGTGTTTATACGGCGAAATCTGTATACCAGTATAGACATATTACAAATATTGAAACAGAATTCAAAAATACTAAGTTGTGCATTAGTAAATGTGATTGTAATAAACTGAAGTATTCCTTGCCGTGTTGCAGTACTTGATTTTCAGTTAATAGTTTTTATATTTTAAAATAGGTTTTCATTTTCTTAATTTATCAAAGTGTAGCCTATTTAAAAATCGATTGTCCAAAAGCACGTACCTTGATGAAGCTATTTAGACTTTTCAAGGTCATTTCGACTGCATACATTCATTATTTGCAACTGAGATGTAATAAATAAAAATAGCTATCTGGCACTCCTCCATTTTAGATCTTTTTAGCAACACCTAAAGACTGAAAGAGGCACTGTGAAAAAGCAGCGGTTTACACTCCTCCTACATAACAAGACTGCCAGCAGAACAAGGGTCCCTTAGTCCCCGATCGTTTTCCAGCGCTTTTGAAAGGCTGCAGACGGGGGCTGGGTTTTCACTTGTCGCAGGTGGCAGCAGCGGGCGCGCCGGAGAAACGCCGTAGGAGCGATAAGCCCGGAGCTCCGGATCCCCTCTGGGACGGTGCAGCCCCGACAACGCGGAATAAGCGGACAGGCTCCGAGTCGTCACCCCTTTTCAGGAGTATAAACCCCGCCGAAAGGAGGACAATCAAATGCTCTTACAGGATATAAAATTAAGCGAATACTTAGGTAGGGATATAGCCGCTAACTTCATTTATAGACTTGGTGTGTTTAATTCTTGGATTCTGGGTTGAGGTGAGAATAAAGAATTAAAAGTCTTGCATATTTTGCATTGATAAAGATCTGCGCATCAGCACTACTCATGCGAGACTGATAACTTGGTGTTCATTTACTTTCAAATTATTAGTAAGGGACAGTCTATCGGAATTTAATTCAGAAGTGACTACACTAATGTAAATAAATGATGATAAAATGAATGTACCTATGAATGACATTAGTCACCATGATTATAAATTCAATGTAGCCTTTAAACTACGACTTGCGCGATTCAAAAACGCATATGAACAGGGTAGCAATATAATAGATAAACTTGGGATTTTAGTGAAAGGCAGCCTATATTTCTTAAGTAAACAGAAGCGAAGAGAAGGTTGTTTCAGGTAACAACATAGCTGTTATATTAGTGGGGGGAGGGAGGAGCCAGGGACTCGCAGGCTGAGACGCGGGATAGAGTTACACCGGGCAGCGCAAGGAAGGATCGGCAGCAGCGCTCGCTTTCTTTCACGGAGTCCGGAAAAACTCAGGGAGGCGAATGACAAATAGAGAGTGGGGATCTCTCCTGGGGCAGGGCACGGCACCCCACAGCCACGCTTCTTTCGGGGGGGGACATCGCTAATGCGCGGAAGACTGCTGCACGGGGTCAAGGCGAAAAGACGCAGGCTTTCTCTCCGCCTGCCCTCAGGAGTGCGCACCAGCGGCCGGCCGTAGGTAAGCGGAGCCCCCGTAGGGGTGCGAGGTGTCGCGGAGCTATAAGGCTGTTCCGGATCCTGCGCTGCTTTCCGAGCGCTATAGCAGTGAAATGACTGAAGTCAGGCTCAGGAGCAGGGTGAGAAGTGCGCTGTGTGATCAGGCTCTGGAAGTTGCCTCTCCAAAGGCTGCCTGTGCCTTCTGAGTTTCCCCAGCTTCAAGTACCTTCATACGGTACTAAACTGCATCTGCTGAATGCATATGCTGTCTCCCGCGGTTGAAATATAACGTGATCTACTTGAGTCTATAGTAAACTGGTTTTTGTCCTGTAGGGGGCAAATGAATACCTATATTAGGCTTGAGTTCAGAATTCATACCACATGTACATCTCACGTATTCATCCTGTCAGAAATATTTGGCATTTTTATTTTCATGTGTTTAAATTGAAATGCCTGTGATTGTTTTGCCCAACCTTTTATTTTAGGGAAAACAATCGATGTCAGTTGGGTCATGGTTTGACACATAGGTATGTTATCTGTAGCTTACATCCCATAGCCTATATGTTGGGTGGTGTGCTTTTGTAGCATTCAGCTAGATACTTAAACTGAACGCAGCAGGAAACTATATAGTTCTAGAGGTGAGAAAAGTAAATTTCCATAAAAGCATGATAAATGATAATAATTCTGATAAATGTGTGTTAATAGATTTCCTGGGGGTCAGCTGTATTTGAACACTTTCATAGATTTTTTAGGAAAAGTATTATTATAAATACAAAATGCTTACATACTGCAATATCTACAAACTTGAAAACGTGAAATGTTGCTTTATCTGAATTCAGTGTTTCATACGTGAAAGTTTTGTATATGATATTTGAGTATGTGACTGAGAGATGCGGGGGAGATGTTTGTGTATTTGAGGAATGGCACACAGTGTTACCGGGAGATGAATTCAGGGAAATGCAATTCAATTTTAAATTTAGTGTTTAAATTTAGCGGAAGAGAGATGAACTGCTCATTTTTCGGAGCCCTAATTACCTGGCAGTGTGAGTGCGACTGACAGGGTTGCTGGATAATGTAGCTTGGCCACGGAGAGTCTGCAGCTGCCGGTGGGGTCTGACTATCAGGGCACTTCTGAATGTCAGTACACAGACAGCGTCATCTCTCTCTCTTTCTCTCTCAGTCTCTCACACACACACACACACACACACACATAGCTCGTTCATGGCCTGAACCCATCTCTGTCTCCCCCCACGGAGTATTTGTTGAAGGCCATTGAGAATCAGCCCTTTTCCCCTCTCTCACACAGCTCTTGATAAATATCATTGAGAATCAATGTCTCTTTTTGTTCCTCTCCTCTTCTTTGCACAGTATTCTTGTTTTTACAGTCGAGAATCTTGAGAATGTAAAATAACCTCAACTATTAATGTGAAGGAAACATTTTTGGGACATATTTTACTGTCTCTGTGCATTTATTTTTATATATTTACATACATACACATACAGTGATATGTATGCATACACATATAATACTAGGCAAAAATTTTAGGCTGTCAAAGAAAATTATGTTATAATTTTCATTACGTTGGTGTGAAACCATGATTTTAAGTTTTCTTAGCTTTGATATTTCAAAAACTCTCCTCAGGTCTCCCCAGTGTTTGTGCTCACCGTCCAGTTATATCCATGTATTTATTCAGTCACCCACTTAGCATACCATGTTTTGCTAATCAGTGCCTCATCCTATTCAGCTAATGAACTTAATTAATTGAGCTGGTGGTGAAATTTAAGGAATACATTATATGTCTGGGGCGCCTCTGAGGAGACCAGAGCAGGGTCCCTATAGCTACCCAACATGATATCAGTACCTTTTGGAAAACAACAGAAATACTTGTTACTTTTTCATTGTGTTTGTGTTCATTTGCATAGATTCTAATATAAACATAGTGTTTTCGTCTGAGCAAATATTCACTTGCTGCCCAGAGAAACAGCTTGAAACATTTTCTTTGACAGGGCTATTTAAATCTTCAAATAATTACTGATTCTGATTGGCCACAGAGACTTCACACCTGTTTCACAGGAAAAGGACGGCTGGAAAATCAGCAGTTTTCAGTCCTTGAGGACCGTGATTTGAATCGGCCTGATTCAGACTTTTGCGCAGTATTGTGTATGTATATGTGTACGGAGATACCTTGTTAATATACACAAATTAGCATGTTTTTAACATGCGTTTGAATGCTAGCTATTTCTATCAAGATAAGCACACTCTTTAAAATGTTTTGAGTGTTACTCTTTCAACCGGAAACTGGTTCCTTGTCTGTCTTTGCTTTTCTTGCCTTCTAATAACACAGTTGCTGGCCTCTACCTCTTACTGCCCTTGCCCTAATCAGCCAGAGCCATGAATCTGGAAGAGCCTGATCGTTGTCGGTGATGCTGCCAAAGTGCCGTGTCATCTCCACTTCTCCTCCATTAAATATGCAGCAAGTTCCTGCCAGGGAGCTAACAGGAAGGGTTTGTAACTCAAGTTGCGGGCTCCCTCCTTCCTACGCAGAGGAAGGCAGTGCCATCCATCATTGCCCCGCCAGGGCCCCCTCCCCCTCGTGTCATAGCCATAGTCCAGGTGGGCCCTCGTATCAGAGGCGCTGACTGGTCTTTGGTGCTCCACCTGGGCTCCTTTGGGTTTTCTGGGTCACCTTGCTCAGCCGCTATTTTGCCCACAGGCCTTGGCATTCACACACGAGGGACCTCGTTCTTTCAGGCGATAATTTACATCGTCCCCTTCTTCAGCCGCCCATGTGCTATCAACGTTTCCTGACCCATGATTTGATGCACGCTCTTGCTTATAAATGTGATTATTTTTAAACATATTTTCTCATATTTTCTAATCTTCTGAGGGAAAAGAGAAATGAGGTCTGATGTAACTATATTCAGTCTTTTTTTGCGAATATAAAACTGCAATCATCACGATTATTTTAAATTATATTATTTTCTGCTTCAGATTTTCCGTTATACTTCATTGTAATCTTTGCCTCTGGCTTTCCATTTTATTTTTTTTTTTTACTTAATAGTAGAAAGCCTTGAGTAGAAAAATTCAGACGAACATGCCTAAATGAATTCTTTCAAGAATCTCTCATTTAACAAACAAACATTTAGGGCCATCTTAGCCTATTATAAACTACAGCTAATAAAGCATCAACTTGCAGGAACATATCCAATATATTCCTATTTTCTTTAGAAAAGCTTCTGTCAGGATCTTTTTTTTTCTAAATTGATTCCAGCTATTGATTACTTTCAGTCAGCTCCATTTCTGAGTGGACCAATCAATAATCAACATAACTGAGGAAGCATTAACATCACTTATGAGCAGGCCGTACACAAAGCTCTGTTGAATATCACTGTCCATCACCCACAAGGAAATGGATTTGTCTGCTGGTGGTTCTGAATACCAATTTTTGTCTTATACCTTTAATTGTGAGTAATGTATCAAAAGAAAATCACAAACTTGTGTTCCTTTAAAGTACAACTCAATGTACATATTCGTCTATACTGCTGCACTTGCATTTGCAGGAATGACTGTTTTTTTCTGAGCTACTGGCACTCGGACACACCGTACTCAGCTCATCAGCTAATTGCCAGCTTTAATAGGTGTGTCTGAGCAGCAGAATCCGCAGGCTGTGCTGCAGACTGGCCCTCCGGGACCATAATTGGGGAACCCTGCTTTAGATCTCCTGTAGGTCAGTTCTTGATGGGGCCAGTTGCATGATTAAAACTGTATTGCCTAGATATTACCAAAGCTCCTCAAACCAGAAACCATTTTATTCAGAAAGAGCATCTGAATGTGCAGTATAAAATTTCACCATATTATTCTGCTCATATTTTCCATAAGCTTTTAAAATTGTGAGCGAAAGAGCCTTTTGGCTGCTTTTGTAAATTAGCTAAAAAAAAATGATCAAATGGTATTAATGTTAAGACGTGAAATAATCACCACGATTCAGTCCAGGCATGTGTTCACGTGTAGGACTGAAGCTCTGTGCTCATATGCGCTTTCCTTGTACGCCCATTGATACGGTACCAAGGGTCCATGTATGTACATGGACTCCCATTGCCAAGCTGTGACTCAATTCTGGCTCCAGATGTCAAGGCTCGCTGCCTGCTGGAGCTCCCTGCAGGGTCTCCAGTTGGCCAAATCCTCGCACTATTTCCTGGACAAGGATTTTCTGGTCTGTCTGGTCAGAGGGTCTGCCCAGCATTTCCTAGGGCGTTTAGGGGAGGCGAGTAATCTGAGGCCAATGAGGTAACCGGGAAATATGTTTGCTCATGTTTCACACATGGTCATGTGATGTTATTCAGAACGCAGTTCATTTATTAATGTCCTAACAAGCAACAATAGTCTATACACATGGTTTGTGAGATCTAATTATATGTGGTGTTCTCTGCTTTTCTTTCATTTTCTTCTCTTATTATTAGTTCTTTCCCGTTTATCTTCTATCTTTACTTTGAGTTCTGTGCCTGGCTTGGCTGCATCAGGCACCACATGGCATCCGCCCAGACGCCTTGAATGTCGTGTTTTTGCCATCAGCCGGCCTGTCAGTTGGTCTAAATACCCAAACATGACTTGACCGCAGTACGGTGTTATGGGACCATGTTGACTACGTCCCACTTGGCTAAGAACCCCCACTTGTAGATGGCACTGTTACATGACTTAGCGTTATGTTACAAATGCTCTTTATACATATCTTCACCGGCTCTGCCGTACAGCCCGCCCCCCCCCCATATATCTATAGATAGTGTATAATATGCATAATACATATGATCATATATATTATTAAAATATCACTCAGATCTTGAGATGAACTAAAGTTTGATTTTTTTTTCCTTTTTTTTTATTGAATTTACTGGGAAAATAAATCACTTATGAAGTCCCTTTGGGGCTTGTCGCGCTTGTTTAAGCTCAGCTGTAATTATATATCATGTCCTCCATTGTCATCTTTTTATAATCATTGCAACACATTGACCATGAAACTGTGG